GCCCCCTGCCCGCTCCCGAGGGTCCCGTGCGGCTCGTCCTCCGCTGCGGCACCAAACACCCCAGGCACAGGGAGCCCTGGGGGGCAGCGAGCACCGAGGAGCCTCCCGCAGCCACTGACTCCCCTTCCTGGATTCCTGAAGCCAATAGGAATGAGGAAGGAGGCAGCTTCCGCACCCGCTTCTCGACACTCTGTGCCCTGCTGCAGCTGGTTGCAGCCCAGCCTGCTGCTTTCGCTGGGTGGTTGCTTAGGTGTTAAGGGCTGTTCTTGCTGCAGCGTTTCCTGAGGCAGGATGACACAGCCGGCACCGTGTGGTCCCGTGTCACCCGCCGGAGGAGCCGCGCTCTGCCCGTCACCGGCGAGGAGGAGCTGGGTGTCCCCGGGGTGACCCCCCTGCCCCGCTTGTTCAGGACTCGCAATGTCGACCGTCCTTTGCTGCAGAGCCCGTTACTGAGCTCCATCCTGCAACAAACCAACATCAGGCGGTTGTTTAAGTCCCCCAGAGAAGAAATCCCGGCTCCCCTAAAGCAGTTGCTTCTCGGAACGCATATCCGTGGCTATTTTACCATCTGCCCATGGCATTACTGCCATAATCTCTGGAAAACGCAGGGCACGGCACAGCAGGGATCCCCCCACCCTCAGCACTGGCAGCAGTGATGCCACCGCCCAAGGGATCTCCTTCTGCCTTCTCCTGAACATCTGCCCTGTGAGGAGAGGCTGAGGGAGCTGGGCCTGTTCAGCCTGGAGAAGAGAAGGCTGAGAGGGGACCTGAGCAGTGTCTAGAAGTACCTCAAGGGAGGCAGTGAGGAGGATGGGGCCGGCCTCTTTGCACTGGTGGCCACTGACAGAACTAGAGGAAACAGCCAGAAAACGAAACACCAAAAGTTCCACAGGAACTTAAGGAAAAATTTCTTACCAGTGAGGGTGCCAGAGCACTGGAACAGGCTGCCCAGAGAGGTTGTGGAGTCTCCTTCTCTGGAGATCTTCAAACCCGCTTGGACGCAGTCCTGTGCCACGTGCTCTAGGTGACCCTGCGTGTGCAGGGGATGGCATAGATGATCTCTAGAGGACGCTTCCAACCTTGAGCACTCTGTGATTCTATGATTCTCAACAGCAAATGGTGGAGCAGCTGCTCCATCCCCCCTGCTGCTGCCCAGAAGACGGGGTAAAAGGCCAGGAGGAGTGGAAGGTGCTGCCCAGCAGTGCAGACTGGTGCCCTTCAAAGACAGGGCACTAAAACCGGCTTCGCGGGGGTCCCTAGCAAACGCGCCCATGGCTGGGATCGCGGCGGGAGGAGGAAACGGTCCTGCCCCGAGGCGCCAGGTACCGCTCACAGAGCTGTCCCCCACCGGCCGGGGGAGCAGTCAAGTGACGGCAAATCCCGGTTCTCTCACGGAGAGCGTGGATTTTTCCGTTGTCCTCGGCTTAACCTGAACAGCAAGGGAAGGTGTTTGTGTCGTCAGACTTGCACATTTTCTGCGCTAACATCTTGAGCTACTCTGAGCCCACCTACGGATACTGAAATCAGGTCAGGCCGTGAACGTGGGAGATGCCATTGCACCAAGAACTGCGCCAAGCCGTTTCACTTGGTCCGTAAAGTCACTATTTGACCAGGTTACTGGATTTATTTCCATAACTTGTATCTAAACAGCCACAGTTCAGAGCATGTTCAGGCTTGCAGCAGTCTCTGCCTCCCTGCTTCCAGGCTGTCTCCTTGCTGAAGTCCTGCCTCAAATCCCAGTCCCTCTGTAAAGCCCTTCAGGAAAGCTCCGAGCTCCCAACCGCCCCTCATCAGACACAGGCATCCAGGCATCCTCTCCCGTTGCATTTAAAAAAATCTCTTGGGAAAGAATTACTTCTGTGATGCGAACACCGATAGCGCACTGCTGGCACCCAAAATATCCTTTAATAACACCGCTGGTTTCTCCCAACCTGCAAAACTTCTCAAGACCTGCTTCAGGGCTCACTTTCATCTTACTTGATTAGGGATCTCTCAGAAGCTCTATCTCACACTGGAAACCATTTGATGGATTTCCTACTTAGGAGTCACTAACGCCAAATCATAAAGCCAAACTGTTCAAAAGAAATAAATCTGTGGGAGCACTGAGCAAAACACTTGGTAGTCCCAAACTGTGAATCTGTTAAAAGCAGCAATCAGTCCCCAAGTCCTGCAGCAGGAAACAGTGCAGAAATACAGCCCTCCACACCTGGAGTTTAGAAGAAAAATATTAGGAGAATGTTTGCTACAATTGACTACAATTTAGTAATGCAGCAGGCGAAGTATTCAGTGTGAATAGGTAGAGATGTGCAGGCATGGCACAAAATCATTATATCTGATTGCGTCTTAAGGTTCAAGTCATCATAACAAAAGCTTCATTCCGAGGTAACAGAATTTAGTTGTTCCGACTATTTTACTGTGTTTACAAAGGTTTGTACAGAGATAACGAGCAAAGAGTTGGCAGGGGTAATCAAAGTCCAAAATGGTCCCATTCAAAAAAATCAAGGAACTGTGCGAGAGCATCGAGCGTGGCAGACCAGGGGGGTTATATCCCGGGAGAACAGGGGTCAGGACGCGCGGTGGCCGCGGCGGCGCCCGTGTCCCGCGGGGCTCAGCCCGCCCCGATGCTGGACCCTGTTTGCAGATTGGACTTTCCTGCCAGCTTCCTCGAGCCCCAGCACAAACCGGGCTGAGGCCTTCTTTAAAATGAGGAATGGGCCAGCTCAGGGCTCTCGGGCTAGAAAAGCTTTTCTCAAATGCGTTTATGGAGCTGAAATTGGGTGCTGTCCAGGAAGGTCATCAGTCACGGGACTGGCTATCCCCGCGCCTGCCTCTGGAGCGTCTGGGAACGATCAAGATTAGCAGGAGAGGGCAGGAGAAACGTAACAGGCATTCCCTTTCCAGGGGACCGCGAGGACAAAACGGAACATGCTGCATTAATACCCACGCAGACCCTCTCCCAAGAGGTGCTTTGGGCTCTCAGTTTGTGGTCCCTGCTGTGTTCTCCATGACTTTATGTAACTCTACAAACCAACCTCTGCGCCGTTAACCAGCCCTTGCAATTCCACAAGTTCCCTTTGCTGTCGGATAATCGTGGAAACCTCCGTGAGAGTCTAGCCAGAAACCCGCCTGGTCCCTCCAAGGGATGAAGAGCTGGCCTAGCTCCTAAGGCATCCTGCTGACCCTGGAAGGAGGCGGCTCCTCAAGCAAAGTCATAACACAGAAAATGCGAGTAAGGGTAACGGAGCTGCTTGCTGACTGTCAGGATGTAAGAGATTTCAGTTGATTAACCAGAACAGTTCGTCACAGAAATCCCGCGTTAGCAACGCTCCTTCCTGGCCTCTTGTAGCAGTTGCACAAGTGTCTGAACAGCTATTTTGTACTTGAGTCTCTTGCGAGCACAAAGACGGTGCAATAATAGCACTGGAGTGCAGAGAGTCAGCCTGGCTCCACTCAGGCTTCACAAAAGCATGAAATTCTTGCGGCAGTCTA